GAAGCATCGTCCTCAGAGCACTGTCACTATTGACAATGGCAGCTCAGTTCAAGTCCTTCTGGGGCTCGTCTCTGTCCTGATGAAGAACTCCCTGTGAGAAGCACGGCCTCCAGGGCACTGGTGAAGACAACCAAAGCCACTGTTTAACATTGCAGCTGCCTGAGGCAGTGTTAGCAGTTGGGACTGAGAAGAGGTTCACCCAAAACTTAAAAGTATAAACCAGAGAATGGGAGGGCTGCAGGGGTTTTGAGGAGCAGCCCACGCCTGGAATTCGAGGGGAATGTGCCTGTGCAGGACGGTGCACACAGGCAGCAAAGATCCAGAGAGGCCCGAGGTGTGGCCCAAGGCTGGCTTGGAGGCTGTGACAGGCGGGACGTGGAGAGTGGGGCAGAATTTAATCTGCCAGCCACAGAACTGAACAGTCCAAAATAGTATGAAAACCCCAGAGAATTAAAGTGAGAAAGAGACCATTCGACAACGTTTGGAGACGTCAGCACCTCACTTTCAATAACAGAACAGTTAGCAGAAAGTGAACAGGAAATAGACTAGAACAAAACAATAACGTGACTAGGCCTAACAGCACTAGACTGTTCCACTGAACCACACGCATTCACACAGCACTCTCAAATACGAACGGGGAGTTCTCCAGAACAGACTGTATGGTAGGCCATAACACATCTCAATACATTTCCAATAGTAGAAATCATAAAAGTATGTTTTCTGACCACAATGGATTGAAATTAGAAATCAATCAGAAGGACATGTGGAAAATTCACAAACAGGTGGAAATTAAACAATATACTTTTAAATAACCAATATAAGAAGGGAAATTAGAAAATACGCTAAGGCAAATAAAAATGAAGACACTACATCAGAACTTACGGGACAGAGTTAAAGTATTGCTTAGTGGCACACTTGTACTTTTTTTTTTAAAAAAAAGAAGGATTTTGAATCAACTTCGAATCAACTTCTACCTCAAGAAACTAGAAAAAAGCAAATTAAATCCAAAGCTAGCTGAAGGAAGCAAATAATAATAAAGTCTAAAGCGGAAATAAATGAAGAAAAAAAACAATGAAGAAAATCAATAAAACCAAAATTAGTTCTGTGAAAAGATCAAAACTGACGAACCTTTACCCAGACAGACCAAAAGGGAAAGAAAGCTAAGACTCAAATTATAAAAATAAGTAATGAAAGAACAGCCATCACTACTTTTCTTTTTTCTTTTTTTGGAGAGGTTTTTGCTATAGGGCGCGTGTGCTCACCAGAATGACAGAGAGAGACAGAGAGACAGAAAGCGAGAAATCACCCCCCAGGGGAGATGGCCACACCACAATCCCTTCTCCTCCATTCTCCTCTCGGGATCTTGGGCATGCATGCACATGCACTTGGCATGAGTTTAAGCCACCTGGTCCAGGACTCGAACCGAGGTTGACCACATGAGAGTCCAACGACATAGCCATTACATTAACTGCTAGTCCCATCACTACTGATCTTACAAAAAAAAAAGGAATTAGAGGGAATTCTATAAACAACTATATGTCAGCCAATTAGATAATGTAGATAAAATGACAAGTTCTTAGATATTCACACATCACTGAACTACTGAAACAAACTGACTCAAAAATTACATAATCTGAATAGTCTATGAAGCAAAGAAATTGAATTAATGATACAGTCTGGATGTAACCCCCAAATTCATGAACTGGAAGCCTAATCTCCAGTGTAACAGTGCTGGGAGGCGAGGGCCTTTATGGAGGTGCTAAGTCATGAGGGCTCCACCCTCATGAATGAATTAATTCCACTATAAAAATAATTCATGGTGTGGGGTCCCTCTTTTGTGCTTTTCTGCCAAGTAGGGACACAATATTTGTCACCTCTTGCCTTTTTACTACATGAGGAGGCAGCAAGAAGGCCCAGACCAGACATAGGGGCTGGTTCCTTGATTCTGGACTGTGAGAAATAAGTTACTGTTCTTTATAAATTACACAGTCTTGGGTATTCTGTTTTAACAGAATAGAATGCACTAAGACAATCTGCAATTTTAAAACTTCCAACAAAGAAAAGCCCTGGCTCACTCGGCTTCATTAATGAATTCTACCAAACATTTAAAGAATTAACATTAATCTTTCACAAACTCTTCCAAAAATAAAATACTTCCCAATTCACTCTACGAAGAAAACAGATTCAGTACACCCTGATACTAAGTCTGCTATTCTTTTGACACCAAGATACCAAAATAAAATTATAAAACAATCTCTTATAAATATATACATGTAAATCCTCAAAAAATATCAGACATTGAATCCAGCAACATACAAAAAAGATTACACACCATGACAAGTGGTATTTAAACCAAGGTTAGTTAAGGTTAAGCAATGGCTAATGTGCAAACATCAGTCTAATAGGCCACTTTAACAAAATCAACAAGACCATCTCTTTTTGTGGTTGTTGCCTTAAATTCATGTTAGAGCACATGCATACACAAGAGAGAGACAGAGAAAGAGAGAGAAGTACGCTTCACTGGTCACACCATGGTCCCCTTCCTCCAAGTCTGCGTGGGTACATACATGCACCTGCCATGACTCCAAGCCAACTGGGCTGACAACTCAAACCATGCGGCTTCCAGCTCTGAAGTCAGTTTGCTACTGACTGCACCAGAGAGGCTGGACCAAGACCACCTTAATAAAAAGATATGTGGCAAAATCCAACACTTTTATGTGTTAAAAACATGAGGCCATCTACATCCTATTTAAAGGTGAAAGACTCAGTGCTTCCCCCTAAGGTCAGGGAAGAAACAGAGATGTCCACTGTTTCTATTTTGTTCAACAATATTAGAGATCGTAGGCAGGACAATCAGGGAAGGAAAAGAATAAAAGGCATCCAGATTAGGATGGAAATAGAAAAATAATATCTATCTGCAGGTGACATGATCTAAATTTTCCTTCGAAGATTTTTTTAAAGGAATTGACTAAACAAAAGTACTAAAAAATGAATTCAGCAGACACAGAATACATGACCAATATACAAAAATCAATTATATTTCTATATACTAGCAATGAATACTCCAAATATAAAATTAAAAAGCAATTACATTTATACCACTATTAAAATGAATAAAATACCTAGGAATAGATTTAATAAAAGAAGTATTTAACTTTATCTTGAAAACTATAAAATATTATCAAAAAAATTACAGGCAGGGCTAGTCAGCAGTGCAGCAGTAATGCAAAGCTCTGCGATGCTGAACCACAAGAGAAGGTCCCAGATTTGCATCCTGAGGCCTCCCTGCACATGCTGGGTGCCCGCACACGTGTGCAGGTATACATGCCATGATCTGGGCTGGCTAAGGCCGGAGATCGATTACAACATGAAGACCCTGTTGGGGATGCTTGTCACTCCCTCTCTAAATATAGTAACATGTGAATTAATCACCCCAGTATTCGTCCTCCCCTCATGCAATAAAAAATAAAAGATTTAAAGATTTAGACAGATAATTCACAAAGGAAATGTGAATAGTCTATAAGAACACAAAAAAGTCAATCAATATCACTAATTATAAAGAAAATAAAAATTAAAATCACAATGAAATACCATTACACATGCATTAAAAAGGCTAAAGTTTCAAAGATTTAAAAAGACCAAGAGTAACAAGTGCTTCAGTGTGGAATAACTGAGATTCTCATATATTGCTGATAGGAATACAAAATGGTACCACCATTTTGAAAAAACATATGGCATGGGGCTGGCAGTTGGCATAGTGACTAAGGGTGCTGGATTCCCACATGGCTAAGCACAGTTCGAGTTTTGGACCTAGAATCTTGCTTTCTCATTTTCCCTCTCTCTCTCTCTGTGCCACTCTGCCCCTCTCTGGTCAAATTAAGCAAATAAATAAATAAAATAAAGTTAAATGAAATAATTCTTGAAAAAAAGTTTTGTTTTTTTTTATTTTTTAAATAAAAATCATATGGCAGTACCTTAGAAAGTAAAACATTGTATATACCAGACAATGTTTGGTAATTTCGAATCCTAGGTAATTTCCCAAGAAAAACGTACACGTATATATGTCCACAAAGAAACCTTCAGAGCTGGCAGTCGGAAACACGTGGCGAGGGCAGTGTGAGAAATACTTGTGATAAGACTGTTCTACAAGTATCCTGATTTTTATCAGGGTGACCACCTAGCTATACAGTAATATTGTGCTTAAGTTTTACAAGATGTCATCCTTAAGGAAACTGGGTAAAGAGCACACAGGCACCAGCAGGTGGAGTGGTGGTGAAGGTACTGGACTCCCACGTGGCTGACTACGGTTGGAGTCCTGGACTCGGTGGCTTGCTTTCTCAGTTTCTCTCTGTGGTAGGCACATGTGCCCTATAGTAAATTTAATAATAATAATAATTAATACAATTAAATAGATACTTCTTTTAAAAAAGGCATATATAGGATCTCTATATGTTATTTCTTACTATTGTATGTAAACCTACAATTATGTCGAAACAAAAAATTTCATTTAAAAGGAAAAAAAAAAAGTTCACAAATGCTATAGCAGAATTATTTACACTAGTCCCAAACTGGAAGCGCCTGGTGTCCATCAACGGGTAAATGGATAAAGGGTAAGCAAACGACTGTATACCTAATCTGTAGACTACCACCCATGGCAAATGGGGAAACAAGCTAATACTATACAACAAGACAGGTGAGTCTCAGAAACGCTACGTGCAGAGGCAGAGGACACAGCGTAGACGGCATGCTGTGTGATCCCACTGACGCCGACAGCGGCGGAAAGCGCGGCAGTGACTGCCTGGAGAGGGCGCTGTGGGAAGGCTCAGAGAGGCCCGAGGAAACCAGGGTTAGGAACTACAGGGCCTTCTGAAGTGTATTCGACAATTACATGATTCTATATGATTACTGAATTTCACACTGTACACACCCAATTGGTAAACTTTAGTAACATTTAAATAAAGTCTTAAAATTAAAAAGAAAACAACTTAGAAAATTAATACCTGTTAGCGTTTTTCCTGCACTCAGAGGAGGAGCAATGACTCTAAAAAGTTTCTGCATTAAAACAGGAGAACAATCACCATCATTTCAAAGAATAATATTTAAAAGACAATAAAGGACTAATGCTATCACTCACCTCTGATAGAATTAGACAGTCATTAGCTATGAAATGAAATATAGAGACTTTTCATGTGAATATGAACTGTGTGGAAAGATCACTGAGAAATAATCCTGTTTGTCCTATTCCTCACCGCTAAAAACCACACCACAAATACCAGTAGAAGGTGGGGCCCTAGCCAGCTGGTTAAGGGAGACGGATCCCACATGGCCGACCACAGTTCAAATTCTGGCCCTGGCAGATTGAAAAACATGCTGTGCGTGTCCTCGTCTGCCCAAATCCCAACAGGATGGAGGAGTGGAGAAGGGATTGCGGCATGGCCATGCTCCTCTGGGGGTACGCACGCTCTCTCGTTCTCTCTCTCTCACTAGAGAGCACGCATACCCTCTGGCAATTCAGTAAATCCATAAATACCAGCTATACGAGACCTTTGTTGAGATTATCACTTCTGATATAAAGTACCCTTTGGTTCTTAAAAGAGCTTTATTCTTTAAAAAAAAAAAAAAAAAAGTGAAGAGATTAACCAAAGTGATAAAGAAGATGATTTTAAACTGAACAATTCTGAATGATCAGCGGCCAAAGAAAGATTATCTCAACTTAAGTAGAGCCTCCTGAAAATTTAGCTGCCATGGATCACCCTGAGAGGGAGTTTCCTAGGTCAGCAGGTGGCATGGAGGTTAAGGTGCTGGACCCTACACTCCCTGCAGTTCAAGTCCTGGACCTGGCAGCTTGAAAAATCACACTGGGATCACGTGCTTACGTGTCTAAAATCCCAAGAAGAGGATGGAGGAGACAGGTTTGTGGTGTGGCTGTCCTCCCTGGGGAGTGATTTCTCACTTTCCCTCTCACTGTCTCTGCCCAGTGCACGTGCCCTACGGCAAAAACCTAAAAAAGAAAAGAGAGAGGGACCAGCAGTTAGCGGAACGGCTATGTCGCTGGACTCCCACGTAGTCGACCGCAGTTCAGGTCCTGGACCCGGTGGCTTAAACTCACGCTGGGTGCATGTGTGTGCGTGCCCAAGATCCCGAGAGGAGAATGGAGGAGAAGGGATTGCGGCGTGGCCATCCCCTCTGGGGGGTGATTTCTCGCTTTCTATCTCTCTGTCTCTGTCTGTCTGTCTGATGAGCGCACGCGCCCTATAGCAAAAACTTTTCATTCCCCCCCCAAAAAAAAAAAACCCCCCCAAAAAAAAAAAAAAAAAAAGAGAGAGAGAGAGAGAGAGAGATTTTGTTTGGGAAAAAACTGACCCTTAGCACTAGGGTCAATCTGGGGCTGTCATTAGCATCAATAGCATCAAAAGATCAATAGAACTTTCCACACTTTTCCACTGAATCCCTAGCCCCTTTTGTTAAGCTGTTATATAAATCTTTACCTCTGCTGAATTAGCAGAGGTACTCATTACTGAGTGTGTCCACACACATGAGAATAAACCTTGTCTTTTCTCCTGTGAATATGAACACGGCCAGTGAGTTCAGAATCCTCCCTCACACCTTTGGGACCTAAACCGGTAGAGGAAATTTTTCCTTCTAAAGTAAGGCACTATTTCTACCTCAAAAACAGCCCAAACTAGGATTAAAGAACAATTTCAGAAGCTATAGTAGTCATCTCAAATGTGAGGATATGGTCTTTCATTCTAGAAAATCTAGACATTTTCAAAAGACAGGATTCCTTACCATAATTCAGACCTCCTTAAGCACTAAACTAGCTCAGCTCCAGCTCTGAAAAGTGATTTCCTCATAGGCACAGTATTATCACAGAGGAATCACAAGGCACCTAACCCCTCACTGCCGACAGCTTCAAATGACTCTGTAATGACAAACACCACCTCCTGCTCAACGCCATTGCATTTGAAAAGTACTCTGAACACAAAACAAAGTTAACCTCAGTAACCCAGCACGCCTTTGAAATGTACAGGTATAAATGCAAACCAGATTGTGAGGAGTAAAAAACCCATTAGAGACAAAAATTGCAGAAGTAACTTCACAAAAACCCAGAATGCATTAAATTAGAATCTCTTTTAAGGAATTGAGAGAAGCCAGAATTGCACTAATTCTTCCTAATTGTTATTTAACAGTGGCACAGAGAACATTTTTTTTTTTATGTGCAGAGGGGTCCTCACTGAAGGACACAGCTGACATGTCTTTCTCAGGGAAGTATTAGACTCCGGTGAGGAAGCAGCTGAGAGGTATTCAAAGGTAAAGACACTTACGTGACATACAGTCAGGGTCAAAACCAGGGGAAGTGGAGTATGGCACTAATTTTAGAAATTAACCGGAAGTGCAACCAAAATTGAAGCGTTATAAATTTGAGGGATACACACCCTACATGAATGTCCTTAAAGAGGCATGAAATGTCACAGAATGACTGCTAACTTTATAGTACTGAAGATAGTTTTGGATGGCATTAAATTTGCAAAAAAGTTGACTGGATATCTTCAGTAAATGGTTGGCTCTTCTGAGGTACATTAGTTACTAATAAAACAGCGAGCTGAGAGGGTGCCACATGTGTTTACAACCTGGCATCCACAACCAGTCCCAAAGCTAAGTCAAATAACAAGAAGGGTAAGGAAATTGATTCTTCCTAAAATAAGCCCAAATGTTTTTAAAATGCTCTCGGTAAGAAATAAAAAATTATAGCAAGGGCTATAAAATTCAGAATTGGAAAGAGCAATACATTATCGATGAGCAAATAATCATCTCCTATGTTTGGGACCCCTCCCCAGCAGACCACGTCACAAATAGCACTACCTAAATAGCACACTTACTATATTCACTAATTACATATCGTTCTTACACCTTCTGGAAAAATTGAAGTATCAAAAGTTCTTAGGGAAAAACAAAAACAAAAAAAACTTTGTTAAAGTCTAACAAGTAAGCATTTTTTTTCCTTTTCTTACTCCCTGGGATTTTTTTTTTTTTTTTGAGAGGTTTTTGCTATAGGGTGTATGTGCTCGCCAAACAGAGAGAAACAGAGACAGAAAGCGAGAAGTCACCCCCCAGGGGGGATGGCCATGCCACAATCCCTTCTCCTCCATTCTCCTCTCAGGATCTTGGGCAGGCACGCACACACGCCCGGCATGAGTTTTAAGCCACCGGGTCCGGGACGCGAATCGCGGTCGACTACATGGGAGTCCAGCGACATAGCCATTACGCTAACTGCTGGTCCCACTCCCTGGGATTTTAATACCTACTTAGGCAGCTAGAAAAGAAGGCAATGGGCAGAAGGTGTGAAATTCAAGAACACTTAAAATAGGTGCACATCTAATAAGTCTACAAAAATTTTAAAAATGATTGATAAAAACAAACTATGCAAAGCAAATGGAAAATAGAAAAAAAAAGGCAACTTAAGTACGTGTCCAGGCTAGAAAATACCTTACCTCCATTGGACTGATAAATTCATTCATGCCTCTGTTGTACACATAGATCATAGCATCATACAGGCGATTCTCCCAGCACATGAGAACTATCTGCGAAAAGGAAAAGTCACTCGGCCATCTAATTCAGAAGGCATCCCCAGTTATTTTCCTCGAGGCTTTAAGAATGGACATCTTGAATTCTCATCCCTAATTTTTCTTATCCCCTATTTGATAAAAACTGAAACTGAGTACAGGCTGAGCGTCCCTAATCAGAAAATCTTCAAAGTCCAGAACCTTTTGAGGACCAACATGAAGCCACAAGTGGAAAATTCCACACCTGACTTCATGTGACAAGTCACAGTCAAAATTCTGCAATAGAAAAATACTGTACAAAATTTCCTTCAGGCTAGGTGCTTAACATGTTTATAAAACATAAATGAATTTCATCTTTATACTTCAGTCCCATCCCTAAGATATCTTATTATATGTATGCAAATATTCCAAAATCTGAAATAAATCTAAAACCTGAAACGTGTCGATTCCCAAGCATTTCAGATAAGGGAGCCTCAATCTGAACTTAAACAGAATGAGAAGGTAAGAGCTGGTACAGGATCAATACAACTTTTTCCCCTTCAAGTGTATTTACTTACTTCCTCCATGAGTAAGAGAGACAGCGAAGAGACAGAGAGTATGCCCTAGAGGGTCTCCATGTTGCAATCCACCCCCAGTCTCGCCAGCCCAGGCTCAGGGGCACACGTGAGCCCAGAGCACCAAGGGAGGGTCTGGATGCGAATCTATAGCCCTCCCAAGGGTGGACCTTGCAGAGTGTTGTGTGTTACTGCTGTGCCACCATCTGACCCCGCACGACTACATTTAATAGTACAGCAGCTATTTTTATTTATTTGAAATTTGCAATAGGGTGCATATGCCTGCCAAAAACAGAGAGAAGGAGAGAGTAAGCAAGAAAGCTGAGCCCAGGGAGGATGACCATACCACAATCCCTTCTCCACTCTCATCTCAGGATGTTGGGCACTCACACACATGCACGTGGCGTGTTTCCCAAGTCTCAGGGTCTGGAACTTAACCACGCAGTCGGCCCTCCGGGATCCAGACACTTTAATACCACACCACCTGGCTGGCCCTGCAACAGCTACTTTTAAACATCCTCCAGTGTCTAACTGTGTTTCTCCTCTAACCTCCTTTCCTATTCATGTTGCATAGAGCATCAGCCTTCAATGTGCTCATTTCCACACTCACATTTGATTCATCAGCCAATCAATTATATCTCCCAAACACCCCAAATCAGGCCACCTCTCTCCATCCCACTATCTGGCTCTCCAGCCTCCTAACTAGACTTACTGCTTCCTCTACGGCTGGTCCCCATCTCTCATTCTGTTATCCCTAATGTCAACCAAAGTGATCTTGTTGAAAACTTCCTGGAGAGGGAGCAAGCGCCCCTCAGTGGGAGGTAGATAGGCTGCACTCCTTCTCCCCCACCTCTCCACCTCAGCTGGGCTGGGGGCTGTGGGCAGACGGGCACATGCTACCTGGCATATTTTTCAAGTCACCAGGACCAGAACTTGCACTGGGCTGGCCAGGTGGGGCCCAGCCCCTCTAACTACTAGACTACAGGGCAGGGCCAACACTTTCTAAAGATTTTTCACAGCATTTAGACTAAAATGTCAACATTTGTACCTTGCCCTCTCAGATCCACTTTTCTCTTTCACCAAGCTCCAGCTCTGCTTACCTTTCCTCTGTTACTTGAATGCCCACAGCGGAACCCTTGGCTTCCACATGAGCAGCTGTTCTCACCTATGCCAATATTCTCGTCGAGATCTTTGCCTTACTGCTTCCTTCTTCTCAGGTGACCTTCTCAGAAAGCTTTCTGTTACATAATTAGCCAGTCAAAGGTAGATTTTCTCCCTAGCATATTCTACCCTGTCTGATTTTTAATGTAACGATTGTTTTTAAACTTTCCTTCTAAAAGTAAACTTGACAAGAGAACAATTTGCCAAGAGTCTGACACTAAATAAAAATCTCCTGAATTAATGAAAGAATACATGAAATAAGAATTGAGAAAATATCGTTTGGGCCAGCTCTGTGGCCTGGTGACTAAGGCAGCCAGATCCTGCATGGTCAACCCTGCAGTATGAGTCCTGGACCCAGTGGCTTGAGAAACACACCAGGCACACGTGTATGCCCAAAGTCCCAACAAGCTGGAGAAGTGGAAGAAGGGGCTGCAGCGTGACCATTCTTGGGGGGAGGTGGCTCTCCCTGTCTGTTTCTCTCTGGGAAGTGCATGTATCCTCTGTTAAAAATTAAAAAAAATAATAATAGTAATAAACAATGTTATTTAGTGTAGGAGACACAGAGAACATTGCTGACTCTAGTGAAAGTAAGGTCAAAGTGTTATGCGAATATGAAAATGCTTTTAAGAAATGTGGGTAAGGGACCAGCAGTTAGCGTAATGGCTATGTCGCTGGACTCCCCCCCGTAGTCGATCGCGGTTCGTGTCCCGGACCCAGTGGCTTAAAACTCACACCGGGCACCTGTGCGTGCGTGCCCAAGATCCCGAGAGGAGAATGGAGGAGAAGGGACTGTGGAGGGGCCATCCCCCCTCGGGGGGTGCCATCTCGCTTTCTGTCTCTCTGTCTCTCTGTCTGTCTGGCAAATGTACACACCCTATAGCAAAAACAAAACAAAACAAAACAAAACAAAACACTAAACCAAACCAAACAAACAAGAAAACCTCTCAAAAGAAAAGAAAAGAAAAGAAAAGAAAAGAAAAGAAATGTGGGTGAGAAGAGGTGAGGTAGAGCAGTCACCGAGAGGGAGGGGAGAAGACTAGATATATAGAGACAGGAAATACTGAGGAGAAGATGGCTTAATGTTTTTTTTAACATGAAAAAATGAGTTCAGGGCCAGCCAGGTGGCATGGTAGTTAAGGCAACTGGATTCCACATGGCCAACTGTGTGATTCGAGTCATGAACCAGGAGGCCTGAAAATCATACCGGGCACATGTGAGTGTGTGCTCAAGGTCCTGAGAGGACAATGGAGGAGAAGGGTTTGCAGCATGGTTGCCCCTATGAAGGGTATTTTCTCACTTTCTCTCTCCAACCAGAGCCCATGCCCTATAGCAAAAAAATAAAAAAATAAATAAAAATAAAAATAAAAAGTATTTAAAGGTGTTGGAAAAAGAGCTAAAAACGAAAATGTTGGAAAGAAATAAAAAACGTACCCTGTATGTGAGGTACATAAAGCTAACTGATAATGTGGAGTGTTTTTTTCCCAGCTTTTTAATTATCTTTTTTTCTTTATTCATGATAAAGCACATGTGCACCCGAGAGAAAGGAGGAGAGAGAGGCACCCTCCATAGGCTTGGTCATGCCACAGCTTCCTCCAGCCCCCAGACCTGTCGGAGCCTAGGCACTGGCACTCATGCCCGCATGCTTCAAGGTGAGCAGGTGGGGATTTGAACCACAGCTGCTACATGTAATCTAACTTCCCTTGAGCAGCACATTACTGCTAATGCCATAGCACAGCCCAGTGATAGGTTCTGACATCCACAGCCCTATCTTCACTGTGAGGACCGCCAAATTACCCACATTAACAGGAAGGCATACGTAAGAGAGGGTCTGGCTTGGCTTTGCTAACTCACGGCCATTCACAAAGAGCTTCCAAAATAATAATAATAATAATAATAACCACTATTCCAAACCTGCATTTTCACATGATTTGTACACATAAAAAACTGTTAGTCTTCTAAGACCTTTGTAAGTCAACAATATTTTAGTTCAAGTGCATGTAGAAGTAACATGCTTGTTATTAGCACTAGTATGTCATCACATAATTAAATTATGAAATGTCTTAGGTCAGAACAGATACTGCTCCTCAAACAAGGGCTGAAAACTGGGGTGGGGCCTCAGATATACTGGAGGTGTGCTACCGAACAATGGGCTGACTGCTTATGCTAAGAAGTCCTATAATTTGCCTCTATGCCATGCTCTGCATTTCAAAACTCAACTACGAACTACCTCTTTAAAAAGTGGTATTGGAGGGAACCAGCAGTTAGCATAATGGCTATGTCACTGGACTCCCACGTAGTCGACTGCGGTTCGCATCCTGGACCCGGTGGCTTAGAACTCATGCCAGGTGCATGTGCGTGCGTGCCCAAGATCCCGAGAGGAGAATGGAGGAGAAGGGATTGCGGCGTGACCATCCCCCCAGGGGGTGATTTCTCGCTTTCTGTCTCTATGTCTCTCTCTGTCTGACGAGCGCACACGCCCTATAGCGAAAAAACCTCTCCAAAAAAAAAAAAAAAAGTGGTATTGGGGCCAGTAGGTGGTAATAGGTTAAGTAATGGTTAAGGTGCTGGACTCCCACATGGCCGGTGAACCCTACACCCGCCACTTGAAAATCATGCCAGGCATGTGTGTGCATGCCCAAAATCCCAGAAGGAGAATGGAGGAGAAGAGATTCCGGAGTAGCTATCCCCTCCCAGGAGAGGGGATAATTTCTCACTGTCTTTATCACTGTCTCTCCAATGAGCACACGTTGCCTACGGCAAAAAAAAAAAAAAAGTGGTATCATGGGCTGGGCAGGTGGGATCCAGGTTAAGGTGCTGGATCCCAGTGGCTAGCTCTGTGGGTGAGCCCCGGACCAGTGGCTTGAAAAGCACTCTGATGCATGTGCATACATGCCCAAAATCCTGGGAGAAGAATGGAGAAGAGATTGTGTGGGGGGTGATTTCTTTCTTTCTCTCTCTTTGCCTCTATCTATCCATCATCTCCTTCAGTCTCTCTCTGGCAAATGCATAGGGCCTATAACAAAAACAAAAACAACCCCCAAAAAGTGATATCATACTCTTAAAGGTAAAAAATATTCCATTATTCATGTGAAAGTACTCATCGTTGAAATTCATCTGCTGGATGAAAACTGCATCAGTGAATGAACTAAACAACAAAGAAGAACCAGTCAGCAAACATTCACTAAGCAACTAGTAACGTAAACTGTATACCAAGATCCCTGGGAGATACCAAAGAAACAGAAGACATAATTCCACCTGGCTTTCAATTACGTACAGTCCTAAGAACTATACTGACAAACAGAACTTTGTAAGGCATCCTATCAAAAGAGCTCAATAAAGAGTGACAGCTCTTCAAGGCAAAGTGAGAGCTGACGGGTCAGGTCCGTGCACGCGGTAACGATGCGGGTTCTGGAAAGCCAGGAGACTGTCTATAAACTCACCTGCTGAATATCGAGGCTGGTGATGTCCATATGTACAATAAGGGCTTCCACATTTTCCATCAACTTTTTATCTTGGAAATGAATAATCAAGTCTTTCATTACCTGGGGTGTGATCCCCACCAATTTATCACTTAAAATATATGGCTCAAGGCACTCCAGAAACACTCCTTTGGCCACTGAATTCTCACTTAATTTGTCATACATCTGGCTAAATAAAAGATCCCTATAACAGAAAAGGAAAAAAAAAATTTTTAGAAACATTCCAAATATGCATTAAAACTAGTCTGCTAAATATCTCTTTTTCCTTGTTTCAGCTTACTCATAAGTTTATTAAAAAGAGTAACAATATTTACATAGAGCTTTATATGCAGAACTTTGTATATATATATGCATGCACTTATATTATAAAATATTTATATTGCAAAACCTTTTATATATAAAACTATATATTTATACACACACACACACACACACACAATCTCAATCTTCCCAAAACTTTGTTACAAGTTAAGAAAAAAAGTTGAATAAGTTAAATTGTTTGCTTGAAGTTACATAAATAACAAGTAAAAAAATCAGAATTTATTCTATTATATAAATAGTCTATTGTTATATAGCTGATTTTTAAAGACAAGAACACTGACATGGGAATGAGTAATAGGATAGGCATGATGGACTAGAAATAAAAATCCAAAAATCCAAATAGAATATTCATAACTCATCCTTCCTGGTATATAAATACTCCTAGTTGACATACAGGGCCAATATGCATTTTAAAAAAATATATAAAGATGTTCCATGCACCTCTTTCCAACTCTTTTATTTATTAATTTTTCTTTTTAGTTCTGTTATAGGGCACATGTGTGTCCCAGAGGGAGACAGAGAAAGAAGAGAGAGGAAAAGTAAGAAATTGCCCCCCAGTGAGGATGGCCATGTTGCAATCCCTTCTCCTCCATTCTCCTCTCAGGATTTTGGGTGGGCACGCATACATGCCCAGTGAGTTTTTCAAGCCACTGGGTACAGGACTCGAACCACGTCAGGCATGTGCGATCCAGCTGCCTTAGCCTCCATGCCACCTGCTGCTCCAACCAATACACATCTTTATCTAACTCTAATACCCTTTATTATTCAAAAAAGTTTGGGCAATGATTATTAATGGGAGAAGAAAATAAAGTGTATTATTTAAAACATATACCAAGAAACAATTTTATTAGAGAAAAATTATTTTAATTACGCTAAATACCACTACCCTCAACAACTGTATTTTGTTTCTTCCATAAACAGTCATAATTTCAGTTATGCTCAAATAGATATAACAGACATAATTCTGAATTATTTTCATTAAGTACTATATAAGCATTATTCTAAGTTGCTACTTACTCTAACTTACAGTGCTTCCATATGCTAAAATATCAGAATTTACTCAACCATTCCTACAGTGCTAGATACATCACTATTTCCAGTATTTTAAGTGATGCCAAAAGGAACATCTACATATAAAGCCTTTCCCATTTTGGAAGCTTAATCCCTTAGTCGTCAGACTGACAAGTTTATCTTTTTGCTGCTGTTGTTCTTGCTATAAGGCACATGTGGTTGCCACAGAGAGAGAGCGTGAGAGAGCACTCCCAGGGGAGAGGACCCTGCTGCAACCCCTTCTCCTCTCTTCTCTCCTCGGATTTGGGGGGCATGTGCACACATGTCCAGTGTGCTTCACAAGTAACCAGGTCTGGGATTCAGTCTGCACAGTGGGCCGGGTAAGATCCCGCTGCCTTAACCACTATGACACCAGATGGCCCCAGAAATTTATCTTAAAAGAAAAGATGAAAAATTTTGTGGTTCTTCAAATGTGTTACTAAATTCAAAAAGCATCACAGCACCAATTTATACTGTTAGCAGCAATGTAAATTCAACAACAGTTCCACTAGACGCTTGAGAATTTTGTTTTTTCCCCTTGATAATTTATTTGATAAAATTTTTTCCAGAGGTCCTGTGTGCTCACTAGTGCACCGTAATGAGGTGCATTCATGCCGCAGTTCCTTCTCCACTTCTCCTGGGACAGGTGTACACACAAACCCGCGTGTTTGTCAAACTGCACCGTTGGCCATGCAGGATCGGCCCTCAGTCACTAAGTCACTGGGCCAGCATGCACCCAGTGATAATTTAATAAGTGCGAATTAAATATCGCTTTAATTCTTTGATGACTGGCAAATATTTTCTAAGTTCCCGTTTATAAGCTATGTCCCCTGAATCATTCATTTAATCATCCTTTTTTTTTTTTTAATTGCCAGAGGGTGTATACACGAGCTGGAGAGAGAGAGACAGAGAGAAGGCACCTCCCTACGAGGCCTGGTCATGCCACAATCCTTTCGCTGCAATTCTCCATCCAGTCAGGATCCTGGACATACACATGTGTGCCTGGCAAGTTCTTCAAGCTGTCTGGGTCAGGACTCCCTCATGTTTGTTTGTTTGTTTGTTTTTAATTTAATTTAATTTTTTGTCTTTTTTTTAATACAAAAACTAATTCTATACTTGTTAGGGTTATTTATATATTGGAACCAGCAGATGGTACAATGGTTACATCACTGGACTCCCACACTGTCAACCACTGTTCAAGTCCCGGACCTGGCGACTTAAGACCCATGCTAGGCATGTGTGCATGCATGGCCAAAATCCTAAGAGGAGAATGGAGGAGAAGGGATTGCGGCATGGTCATCTCCTTGGGGGGTGATTTTTCACTTTCTGTCTCTCTCTGTCTCTCTGGCGAGCGCATGTGCCCTATAGCAAAAATCTCTCTCTAAAAATAAATTAATAATAAAAAATAAAGAAGTCATCATTTATCTAATTTTTATCTAGCTGTATCATGTCTATGTTTATCATGTCAGTTGTAGAAGGTGTAGATGGTTTGTTTATCCATGGTGTGTTCTTTCACGAGTTCACAGAAGCGTCAAGGAAGCACTTGAACAGAGAGGGACGGGATTCTGCCTCACTGAAAGTCCTAGACAGGCAGGAGACGAACTGCTCCGACTGTGCCAGAACCACGCCACGTCTCAGCGAGCAGCACATCAACATCCTGGGGAAAATCCACATCCATTTCTTTCTCCTCAAATGCACAAATGTAATTTCGGCAATATTTTCCCCTCGGTTTCATATTTATCAGAGTAGTTCTCATTTTAGTTTCATTCTAATCAATAGCTCATCATATTTTTGTGATCACCAATTACTGTCCAAGCAAAAGAAACCGAGATTAGTGTTTTACTCTAAGAAAGAAAGAGTAGTACAATAACTAATGAATTCAAGGAAAATGCCATATTTGCTAGCCCTTGCACTCTGTAATGTGTTGTTAAAAACAACAGGCTAAGGAAGATAATGATATATTTTAGTTCAGTACAAAAAGGCTTGGGGAGGAGAACTGGAGACAGCAAAAACTGCAGTAAACAAAGCATAAGAGCTGACGAACGAGACACCCCTGTGACGAAGACACATGCAGTGCTGGTGAGATTAAGGCAAACTAGGCTTTTCCTGCTTAACCAATCAGAGATTATAATAAAGAAGCCAGAAAATAAGACACGGCAATTCCTAACAGCCTCTCTGCCTTAAAATAAAAATAAAGCAGAACGGTAAGACTTGTTTTCATCAGCCTGGGAGAAGATGAGCATCAGGAGAGAGGTGAGAAAGAGGCACAGAATGTCGTAGCTCTCGGGTTTCTTGCTATTTTAGGCATCGTTCTCCAGGGTGCTGACTTTGCTTCCTAGAGAAATGACTTCGAAATTGCTATTTGCTGTTTCAAGCGTGGCCTCCCCACAGCCAGTGTATCCGAAAATCCATCTCAAATAACAGAGGACAGCAAAGGGATCGTTCTACAGACTTCACTTTGCGTCGATACTCATTATTAAAGGTATTTTCAGAATTTGTCACTTAAAACTTCAAATAGAGAAAATGGCTAAATTCCCTTGTACGTGTGTGCTCACCAGCACAAGAAAAAGAAAGCACCCCCGGAGGGGCACTGTCACACCCCAATCTTTTTTCCTCCATTTCTCACGCCTCTGGGGATTTTTGGGATACACACACACACACACACACGTGCTAAAAACACAAGTGTGTTTCCAAGCCACTGGGAATGGGACTGGGACTGGACTGGGACTGGAACCCCACGGTCGGCCATGTGGGATCCAGGTGCCTTAACCACCAGGCCACAGGCTAGCCTGTGCATAGTTTATTCATAAAGCGCATTTTCCATTAACTTTTTGAAGACCCATGGAAAATGCGTAGTATGGAAAAAAATGCTTACATGCTGGAATTTCTCCCAACCAGAAGCAGAATCTTGTAGAGCCCAGTCTTCAGTGTCAGGAAACAGGACTAGAGAAGGCAGCCTGGCCTGCACTGTGGCCCCGCAGAATGCCTGTGCCCTCGGCCCAGGGTGTGAGCCTGTGAGGAGGAGGGGCTACAATAGGGACCGGAGGCCCCATCCCCTGGAGGTCCAGAACCTCACATGACATACACGACTTCTCTCTGAGAAACACCAACAACACACACTGCATTTGTTTCAGAAAGAAACAAAGAAGCCCAGAAGAAAACATGCCAAGGAATCAGGCAAAGTTAAGGAAAGAAGTTGATAAAAACAAAGAAATAATAAATAGATCCTAATTTGGTGAATAATCTAGACCAGAGTTTATCTTCTGCATTATCTGGTGTGGTTTAAATGCCAATCAACAATTTAAAAAAAAAAAAAAAAGCTGGAGAATATTTCCTTTTCAAATTACATAAAAAAGTAAAACTTATCTCCAGAAAATTTTGTACATAACACAAAATATTTCTGAAAGAGCCCATTTCTTTCTTTTTTCCTGTATACTCTTTTATCTGACAACTGTTGGGCCATTTCTACTTTACGTCACTGAGAGAGTATTCCAGTATTCACGGTAATAGTCACAAGTTACCCTGCAAACCACAGGTTCATTAACTTAGCCATCAGGGATCATAGCTATTCTGTGCTATATACCACTCTAGGTGGGAATAATCCATTTAATAAAGCTGGCCTTTTAATTCCAAATAAAAGTTACCCTTTTAAATACTTTGTTTCATCTCATTTACAATGATGTCCATTTGAAAAGTTGATTCCAGTGTACTTACTAATATTAGGAACACCTCTACAACTCCATTTCCTCATCTGAAAGTGGGGATAACATTACCTCTTTTTACACTGTAATTATGAGGATCAAACTAAACAAAATGCACAACACTGATCTAAAATTTTAAAATATGTAAGATAAATAATAAGGAAGTGAGTCCGAGCATACGGTAAAGAGAAGACTAAGGAAAGACTAGACTACAGGCATCTCACGGCAGTTAGCTCTATGGGGAAGAATGATTTGCTACACAAGTCACTCTCCATCAGCTGAAAGTAAACTAGCTGTTCAGAAGACACAGAGGCATTTCTATCCCTAAGACCTAGAGATTTCTCCATTAGGCCCTCATAAAGTAATGTTCTCAACAGAATTCCCATCATAACCACAGTATGTTTCACCAGATAATTATATAACACTACAGCTAAAATGCTGGAATAAATAGGAGCTCAGGTAGGCAGAAGCTATAGCTATCCGCAACTGAATTAAAGGTCTCACACAGAAAATAACTCCCCTCTTGATAACCTTCACTGATACTTTCAGAATACAATTCAACAGGGTCAGCCCATGACCTGGTTGTTAAGGCAGCTGGATCCCCCATGGCCAACCCCGTGGATTGGGTGCCGGACCCATCAGCTTAAAAATACACACTGGGTAAGTGTGCGTGCATGGCCGAAATCCTGAAAGGAGCGAGAGATGGAGGAGAAGAGACTGTGGTGTGACCATGCACCTTGAAGAATGCTTTCTCCTTTTCCCTTCCTCTCCTTCTTCCTTTGGCAAGCATACCCACCCACTGATAACATTTTTTAAAAAAGTAACGAACAACAACAAAAATCCAACCTTTTATGAGTCAGGCTACCAGAACACACACAACCTATTCATGAATGAAGTCATTTCATACAGGGTTTTAGGAGTATGTGCATTAAATCCCCACATTTGTTCTCTACACTTAGAAAGTGGTACGCAGTAAAGGACCAAGAGTACGAAGGCTGAACTTCTTTACCCTCGAAAACTGTGAAGGTGAGTTTTGACAAGTGAATCACTTCCTGCCCTTGGACCTTCCTAAATAAAATGAGAATAGTAACACCTTCCCCACTGTTACAAAAATGAGATAAGTGACTAACAATTACGTTAATAGATATGAATGGCGTAGAACAATATTAGATTTAGCACAGATTCCTAATTTATGTATTTACTATTTAAACTAACAAAGCCTACTCAAGAGTTTACGTACACTGACTTCTAAACCGAAAGGCCCTAAAAGCCAATACTGGGCAAGCACAGTGAATCTAGCCTATTTTGGGAGGTATAAGACACCAGGTTTAAGTGATGGCTCATAGAAGACTACACGTGCAAACAAAAAACGTACATGTAAGATGACTCATACTTTTAAGATCCCTAAGTAGCATCGCTCTGTAGCTGGTTCTGTGCTTTGCTTCCGCCTTTCTGCTACACAAATACAGAGATGCCCCACCTGCAGTATCTGTTACAGAGAAGTTCACTTTTTTAGGTGAATGGGCTAACAACTGTTAAGGAATTAAATTTATGTAAATTAATTTTTCTAAAAAAGCTATCCATTCTAATTCACAGAATTTATATCAGGAAGCCAGGGAAGTCATGACACATTTTTGTACAGAAAAATATCTTACAACTTTCCCAATGACCTAATAGTAATGAATCATACATAAACAAGATGCTAAGTTCAAAACAATCGACTCTGACAGGGAACGCATCCAGTGAGTACTCACTTTCGCTGCAGCAGAAGGCAGTAATCCACTATGACAGGCACCATATCCTGTAGAGAAACCATACAGAAAGTATCAGCCCCACGCTCCTGGCCAGGGGCCCACAAGACAAGTCTGATTAAGATGCTATTGGATGGAGCCAGCAAGTGGCATGGTGGTTAAAGCGCTGGATGCTCCCACATGCCCGACCACGGTTCGAGTCCCAGACCTAGTGGCTTGCTTTCTCACTTTCTCTCTCTGGCCAAATTAAACAAAATAAATGAATAAACAAAATTAAATAAATAATTCTATAAAAAAATATGCTGCTAGTTGTTTGAAATACGTAACTTTCAACCATGCTTTCAGTAAGCAATCTGGCACTGTGTTATAAGTCTTAAAAACATGAAACTACTCTGACCTGGTAATTTCTGAAAATTTATCCTAAATATATTTTGTAAAAAATATAATGCCTTAAGGTGTTCACCACAGTTTTATGACAGAAAGAAAAGAAGGGGATAAAAGGAGGGGAAAAGAAGAATTTGAATAAAATTCAATATACAACATGGAGGAAAATTTAAGTAAATTTTGTCATTTAAGTATTATATATGGGACCAGAAGATGGCATAATGGTTATGTTGCTGGACTCCCACATAGTTGACCATGGTTCAAGTCCCTGACACTTAAAACTGACACCAGGCATGTGTACATGTGTGCCCAAAATCCTGAGATAACAATAGAGGAGAAGGGATTGTGGCATGGCTATCCCCCCACCAGGAGCTGATGTCTCACTTTCTGTCTCTCTCTCTCTTTCCGGTGAGTACACATGCCATATGACAAAATTTTCTCTAAAAAAAAATTACACATATATCACAAAATCATAAAAGGCTTATAATAACATTAAAACAAATAGTAGGTGAAAAAATATATTTATTTTTGCAAAGAAAACTTACAAATTCAAAAAAGAAAATACTTTAAATTGGTAGTAGGCTAAACTGGTCTTCTTGGGGGTTCAAGTGATGAAAGTTGTCCATTATTTTGACACATTCCTCCACCAGGTTTCTTTTTTATTTTATTATTATTATTATTATTATTATTATTATTATTTTGCCATAGGGCACATGTGTTTGTCAGAGAGGCAAGAAATAGAAGGGGGGAGTGAGCAATCACCCTCCAGAGAGATGGCCACACCTCAATCCCTTCTCAATGTTCCTCCTGGGATTTTGGTCATGCATGTTCATACACCCAGCCTGATATTCAAGCTGAATCCATGACTCGGACTGCAGTCAGACAGGTGGGAATCCCGCTGCCTTAACCACCACACCTGCAGTCCCCAAACCAGGCATTTTTTGTTTTGTTTTATTTGTTTTAGAGATTATTTGCTATAGGATGTGTGCGCTCACCAGAGAGACAGAAAGCAAGAAATCAACCCCAAGAGGAGATGCTGCATTGCAATCCCTTCTCCTCCATTCTCCTCTCAGGATTTTGGCACATACACACATGTGACTAGTGTAAGTTTTAAGCCATTGGGTCCAGTTGGCCATGTGGGAGTCCAGAGCCTTAACCACTAATCTACCTGCTGGCTCTGAAATCAGGTGTTTTAAGGTTTATTTAAAATCTCAAGCTCATAATATTTTGAGTACTTTAAATTAATCATGTATGGAATCCTTTCAAGTAAATGGCAACCAATAATTTTGGCCTTTTTCAAAGGAAACAGTTTGAAGGGGAAAATAGCAGCTAATTATAACTGGAACTTGTCAAGTAACTAAGCATCGTATTTCTTTCATTTTCTGCTGCCTTCAGGAAAATGGTTCCCTTTAAAAAATTCTAGAAGGCCTCAGTTCTAAATGCAAAAAAAAGTAAAAGAATCCTATCAGAAGAGAGAAGGTGCTTATATGAGAAAGAAAATAATACATGCTAACACCTGTCTGACAAAAAAAGTCAAAACTAAGGAGTGCTTATTATTTAAGAGAAAGATATCTGAAAAAAGTCCCACCATCCTGAAAGGATTACAGGGTTTATCCCTGACCTGTTTCTTTAGTCATCAGTATTCCTCATGGCCAGATTTATCATCTATTTAGATGCTTCAAAAACAGGAAATAAAACCATAGATCTGAAGAGCATGGCTGCCGGAAGCTCGACCCTGAGTGAGAATACAGGCAGCTAGATAATCTGGGGTGAGGTGAGGTGGGGGCTCCAGAAACACCTGGGCAACTTTCATATACACCCTTCAGCATACACAGCTACCTTCCAAGAGAGGGAGGACCACAGCCAGGGTCTGAAGGTGAGAAGAGGACTAGCAGTCAGGGGCTAAGCCCCAAGTGGTCAGTGACAGCATCTTACAGGTTTTGTGGTCACAGAAGAGTTTGAGTTTTATTGCCAGAAAAAAAAAGGGAACGTAACCAGAGGACCTCTCAAAAACTAGCATTTGTGAAACACCGCACCCTCCATGAAGGGGGGAAAATCTGCCTATGGCCAGAGGAAGAACAAGGAAGGTTGTTTGTCTCAGGCTGTCTGCTCTGTGTCAGTAAATCTGTACTTTCTAAATGTGCGATTTGAATTACACTATCTCCTTAGTGGAAACAATCAAGCCAAGGTCTTAACATAAAACACAATCCTGAAGAAGGATGTTCCCAGGGCACTTGAAAGAAGCAAATTCAAAAATTCTCCATAGACAGTTCTGAACACAGGCAAGTACGTGTTACTGGGCAGGGGGTGGCAACCTGGTAACGCAACTGGACACACAGGAGGAAGGTCCTGGATTCACATCCCAGAGCCCGTGTGAGCATGCCAGACATACATGTGCCCAAGATCCCAGCTAGATGAGACTGGGGGCGAATCACAATGCAGAGATTCTGTTGGGGTGCCCCCTCCACAGAAGAAATAAACTTTAAAAAAAAGTCCTACTGATAAAGTCCTATTGCAAATGTACTCAAAATAAAAATTTTAATGCATCTCACGAAATAAGGCAGTATGAATGAATGTCAATAGGACTATAAAAGAAGTAACCCCCTAACAGCAAATAATGTAATTGTCAGGCAGAAACTGTTTTTTAAAGTGTATTGAAAGTGCTACCTAAGGCATAAAATAGGGAATTAAGTCCTCGGCCTAGTACTATGTGTTATGGATAGACTGCAGCGACTGCATGGTGGGAGGATGTGAAAAACCCAAACGGAAGGTAGAAGGCTCTTACAGTGGTCAGAGAAAAAAACAGGAGACTAAACTAGGGTAGTAATATCAGGTATAAAGGGAAGTGGACAGAATTGAGGAGTATTTATAAGTAAACTACAGTCTGGTGACATACTGACCATGGGTTAGGAGGCAGTGGAGTCTATGGCTCTTAGGGCACTAATTTGAATGATGGTTGAATGAAGATGTCACAAAATGAGATAAAGGAATACAGGAAGAGATGTTAGAAGGAAGAAACTTGGGCCAGCAGGTGGCATAGTGGTCGAGGCACTGGACTTCCAGGTGCTAGACTATAATTCGAGTCCCTGACCTGGTGGCTTGCATTCTCACTCCCCCCAACCTCCTCTCTGTCCCTCTCTGTGAGTGCACATGCCCTGTAGCAAATTAAAAAATAATAACAACAATGATAAATAAATTTATATATTGTTTTGGGGGGTGTGAGAGGTTTTTGCAATAGGGCGCATGCACTTGCCAGGAAGACAGAGAGAGACAAAGAGACACAAAGCGAGAAATCACCCCCCCGAGGGGGGATGGCCACGCCACAATCCCTTCTCCTCCATTCTCCTCTCAGGATCTTGAGCACGCACGCACACACGCCAGGCGTGAGTTTAAGCCACTGGGTTCAGGACTCGAACCGCGGTCGACTACCTGGGAGTCCAGCGACATAGCCATTATGCTAACTGCTGGTCCCATAATAAATAAAATTTTTAAAAAGGTAAGAAACTAAGTACAGTTCAGACCAGTAGATCTGAGGAACACTGTTACTTAGATGCTGAATAAGAAACTGGATACAGCAATCTGAAATGTCTGGACTAGAGTTACAAATTCCTGAACTCTCAAAGAATAAAATTATACAGGACGACAGAGATAAAAAGCAGCTATCAATGGACTAAAACCTGAGGAAGACCAATACGATCTATAAAACAGTGAAAAGATGGAAATAAAATTCAGTTCAGGAACAGCCACTGGAAAGGGACAGAGTAAGAGAGCTAGAGAGAGGGAATGTGAGAAAGCAAGTCGCCAGGATTTGAACCGCAGTCAGCCACGTGGGAGTCCAGTGCCCTTAATCACTACACCACCTGCTGCACCACCCCTTCCAAATATGGAAAAAACATAAACACACAGATTTAGCCAAATAGGATAAGCCTAAAGAAATCCACACTAAAACACCATTTTCAAATTTCTAAAAACTAAACATCAAGAAATCTTGGGAACCAGCAGTTAGCATAATGGCTATGTCGCTGGACTCCCACGTAGTCGACCGCAGTTCGTGTCCCGGACCCGGTGGCTTAAAACTCACGCAGGGCGCGTGTGCGTGCGTGCCCAAGATCCCGAGAGGAGAATGGAGGAGAAGGGATTGCGGCGTGACCATCCCCCCTGGGGGGTGATTTCTCACTTTCTGTCTCTATGTCTCTGTCTGTCTGGCAAGCGCACACGCCCTATAGCGAAAATCTCCCCCCCTCAAAAAAAGAAAGAAATCTTGAGTGGCGTAAAGAGAAATGACACTTGCGCTATAGGGGAAAATGATATGAATGACTTAATTTCTCATCAGAAATCATGGAAGCCAGAGGAAGTGGCATGGTATTTTTCAAGTGCTGAAAGAAAACACTTATCAACCAGAATCCTAAATACACAAAAATATCCTTAAGAAATGAAGGAGAAATGAAGGCATTCTCAGATGAAGAGGCTTTGCTACAAGAAAAAGTACCCTAAAAGAATGGCTAATCAAAGTCCTCTAAACAAAGGAAACAGTAAAAGAAGAGACCTTGGAAGGTCAAGAAGAAAGAACATGATAAGCAAAATTATGGGTAAAGACAATAGACATTCTTTGTCAGGTTTTCTAACTTGTTTGATGGTTGAAGCAAGAATCATAAAGCTGTGCGAT